CTGGTGGGTGAAGTTGGTATCCTTTTTTTCCAACTCCGGAACTCGGACCTCCCAGTTCAGAGGGGCGTTCGAGTGCACTTCACTTGTCGGAGGTCGCAAAGGTCCACTTCCAACCTTCCCCGAATGCAGCACAATTCAGGCTCCCTGTCGATCCTTAAAAGGCATTGAGTCAATAAATCTAAAATTAAAACTTTAATTGGCATCAAAATGTCTTAAATCCATATTATTCACAAAAAGGACACCGCCAATGACCTGAAACGGAAATAATCGCTTTGGTTTGGCCATACGCGGAAGTGAAACTCAAACTTGTCATGTTTGAACTTGATAACATGGCATGTTAAAGCGTGAAACTTTAATACTGAACCATGAAACTTCAGCTCATCCTAGTTCAGTAGTAGAGGTTTTTGTTCAACAGAGGGGACTGTTGAACAACCACGGAATGAAGTTCAGTTCAATGAGTCAATGACTTCTGCTTCAGAGATCGCACATATAGGCAACTACTGTACAACATGCAGCATATATTGCGAAATCTGCCGTGAAAAAAAACCAAGAGGCCCATTCAGCACTTTTGCTACTAGATTTACAAACCTTTACTTAAAAAAGTTCGTCCTGTAGCAACTAATTTAACTGTATGCTTTGTAAAAAGCTATTTTGCACCGACATTCGATAACTGAATTAAGTAAAAACAACAGTTGTTTGAAAAACAACTGTTGCGTTTATCTTGGAATTCTATTTAGATTGTGACACCTTTCTCAATGTCAACTTTGGATTTTTTAGTACCCTAAGTTTGAAAGAAACAAATGAGCTGAACAAAACTTTCATAACATACGTTTACTTCATTCATCACGAGCCCCACACAATGTTCATTTTACGAGTTCAGGTGGGTTTTCTGCCAGTCTGAGGTAAACACAGATTATAAAAAGAAGACTGATTGAAAGACGCCAATCTTTTCCACGCTGCCCAGCCTCGCCTTTGTGCCTCTCCCCTCTCCAGCTGACCTCCATAGTAGTGGGGGTCCACGATCAGCAGGTAGCTCCCAGCGCCCCCGGTGCACACCCCCAAGACCCCTTTTGAAGAGTTGTCCCTGTCCCCGCCCATCATGACAGGACATCCGCGTTTGCCAAAGTGCTGATGGAGCTCTTCTATGGCGATCTGCTCGAGCTCTCCTCCACTTCTGACATGCACCAACCTACAGGGAACATCATAAAAATAAGAAAGCACCAGAGAGGCTTCAAATGTCCCAATCCACTCCTTAGAACCCAGAAATGAGCTCGGTTTGTCCATCATGGACACTAAGGCTTGTTGGATCTCTGGAATGCTAGGTGGAGGTTTGTTTTCGATTCGAGGTTTCACATTATATCCCAGCCAGGAAGCCATAGTCTGGATGGTGCGGTATCCACACCCCCAGCCTCTGTCATCTTGTCCATCGCAGCCGTAATAGTAGTAGTGGTAGTCCCCTTCGGCGAGGCTCGTTTGCAGAGGATCTGCAACAGGGGGCGGCAGACCAGTATGGACGTTCGTCAAAAGAGTTGACACCTTCGTCATAGCATTTACATTTCCAGTGGCGCTTCCACCCCAATCTATCACCATCTCGCCTGCCGAATCGAGATCGCTTTGGTCCATGTTTAAAAGTCCTGTTCTGTTTAATTTGCTCCAGTCTCTAAGGAGAGGATGACTCGCTTGACATCGACTTCCTGTTTTGGTGTAACTACATTATTCTTTCGTGTGATTGCCGCGAAGTTGCGGCGGATATTAGTTCCTACCAATGACGTACAAATAGAACAAAAATTCACATTTTTTTAAAGTTTACTACATGTTTGAATCTTTTTTTCAGATGGACTGTTACATTGAGACTTACAAATTTGGAGATAACGAAAAAGGTAAAAAGATTTTTGACATATACTGCAAGTTGTTTATTTGGAGTCTGTCAACAATTTGTCGATATATTTACTTAAAAGTTAGACGAGTGTGTAGTCTTTGTTTAAAATGTAACGGGTTGTTTGAAAACTAATAATTATTGGCTATTATGCTTCAGTTTATATTCGATCTTAAAAACATAATCTTTTTACCAAATGTTACCAAAAATGTACAACCACAATCCTCCAACTGCAATGACTTTGGAATTAAAATTTAAAAAACACATTTGTTTACAGAACTGCCAATCTTCTCTTGTGCAGGTACCTTTCGGTTCTCCTGGCAGTTCTCAATACTTCCAGTAGGGAGAAGCAGTGTACCTTGAGGCCAGTGTGGAGGCCCTTCTGCACCTGAGTTCATCACCAGGCATGGGTTCATGCATGAGGAACTGATTCATGGACCGCCTGCCGCATTGCTTCCTGAAAGATGATAACATGATAAGTATACTTTTATGTTATAACACAAATTAAGAGGCGAGTTAATACTGTTAAATAAGACAATCATGTGTTTTTATCCATTCTACTGCATCTACGTATGTCCTGTTTGGAGAGGAGATCTGCCACCACCAAATGGGCACCCCTCATGGCACTGTCCGATTTCTGAAAGTCTTTCTGGATGAAAAATTAAACTGAGCATTAAATGGTGTAATCCGGATAGTACACTGTAAAATGGCCTGTTGGTTAAACTCATTCAACTCTCAAGAAAGAATGAAATCAATCTGAGGTGCTACTTAGCTGTTAGGCTTTACTTCATGCTGTGTAAACGTGACTGAGATGATGCATTCACAGTTGACATATTAGCAGTAATTTATAAAAATAATAAGTAAAAAGTACATTTTTGTTGTTATTTTGTGGCACAGGGCTGTTTTGAATTGGTCATAACAAGGATGCAAGTCAATCAGTGTCATGATTGCCTTCCGCTTGGACATTAAGTGTGGACGCGGTTCATCAAGCTGTGTTGTGTTTGTTGTTTTGTGCTGCGGGCCAACCATGGTAATCGGAATTTTGTCATGATGTGTAAACAGGAGTTGGACCTCAGCGTCATACTTTGTCAATAACCACTCCAGAGAAGTGACGAATACAGGCCATGGCTCGCGTGTTTATAAGAGAACTTGAGAAAGGAAAACGTGCGACATCTGACAAACTTCCACCACTAGGAAGTGCAGCTACTCTAATTTGTCTGTCGCATTGATGCCAAGGATGTTTTGGAAGACGACTCAGGCGCCTCTAATTACATCATTGTTGTTGCAGAATTACAACATACTGGATCAATGTCAGCTGGTGGATTTCCCGTAACAACTATTGAACAAATAAATGGATACTGACATGATATCAGGTTAAGATAAATGTGTTTTTCAAACTGGAATACAAAACACCCCAAACTTTTTTTACTGAGCATTAAGATTATGATTAGACAAATGATAAGACAAATGATTTTTTTTTTGCCGTCGGCACCGATGTGATGAAAGCCAAGTCGAAGAATCGAAGTCAATGGTGTCAGTGACCCTCAACCTTTCGAACGCCACGGCCCGCTGGCACGTCGACGCACATTTTGACAGATTGGCATTCAAGCAACAAAAAATGACTAATCGGAAGAGAAAAAAAAGTGATTAGTGACTAGTCAACTTCAAGCTCGAGTCGACTAGGCTGCACTATGCGTGGAACCGTGTTATAACGTGCTTCGTTTTCTGTATCATGCAAAGCATCAATGTTTTTCCAGTGACCATTAACTGTTGCACAGCTGATGATTTTTTTTTTTTTAACCGTCGCCACTGATGTGATGAAAGCCGAGTCGAAGTCGATTGGTCAGTGGCATCTGTGACCCCCAAACCTTTATAGCACTATGAACCGGTGTCACGTACGGACAGATTTTGATGTATCGTCACAGAAACAACCAAAATTGTTGAATAGAAAGACAAGATGATAAAAACAAGTGATTAGTGACTAGTCGACTTCAAGCTCGAGTCGACTAGGCTGCATTATACTGTATGTGTATCCGGTTTCTGATGCGTTTCTTTTTCTGTATTGTGCAGAGCATTAATGTTTAATGATTTTATTTTCAGGGCTGCACAACTGCAGATTTTATTTTTATTATTATTATTATTATTTTTAACCGATGCCACTAATGTGATGAAAGTCATAGTTGATTAATCAATGGTGTCAGTGACCCTTAACCTCTGTAGCACCATGAACCAGTGTCACGTAAAGATGTAATTTGACAAATTGTCATCGAAACAACAAAAATTGACTAACAGTAAAACAACGTGCCCAAAACCAGTGATCAGCGATGAGTCGACTTCAAGTTGGAGTCGACTAGTCAGTCGAACCTCGAGTGGGTTGTTCACCACTTGTCAGGATGCATTTTGGCTTCCATTGATGACACTACACAGGGGATAGCAGATGCTCACTCCACGTTTGGCAGTACTTGACCAACTCATTAGATAGGACACGACTGTATATAGTAGATAGTGCGAGATTCCAAATACAGCCATATTCTGAGGGAAATCACAGTGATCTGGTTCCTGTCCTGTAATGCCCCCCACCCAGTAACATTTTGTCAGTGACACGGGATCACAGCAAGGTCACCGTATTCCTGTCACCATGGCCGCCTACAAGCCGAAACAAGGAATTCCGGCCCCCAGTCGGTGGCTCCTACCTCGGCTCCGGTGTACCTAACAGGCCCCCTCGCCCCACCCCCCCTCCATTCTTTTATGTCAGCTTCCTGTCTTGTGTCGCGCCAGAGGAGTAGACCTGGCTGGCCACGAGCCCACAAACGTGGATGAGAAATGGAGACGCACAGAAACGGCGGCAATGGGCCAGACGTGGCCTCTATATGCGCTCATAAAGCCGCGAGGTTTAGCCTTGACAAACTCATGTGCAACCGATGCAATGTTTGCATGCCGATGGGTCATGATGACGACGCTCCCACGCCGGCCCTTGACTACACTCACACACACACACAGGCATGCACGCACGCACACACTGAAACCCCCTGGAGTCACCTTCCACCCTGAGCCCTCTGATCATGAAGCATGGCTCGCAGCACGTACCTTGTCTCGCTCTCCCCACACTCCCATTCTGGCTCAGACAAAAGCAAACAGCGAGAGCAAACACAGCAACAATCTGTCAACATTGTCTCCTTCACTTTAACTTGGCGGCAGTTGAGCTTTGAAGCTGCGATTCATCATGTGCAGGTACACGTGCGTATAGTTTCCTGGTTTGGAATTGCGCCGAGACGTGATTCCTTAAATTAAATTGTATTCGACCGAGGCCGGCAACATATTCGAAAGAGCACCTGAGTGTGAGCGGAGCGCCAATCAAACGTGAACGTCGGGGTCTTTGGCGAGGTCAACTCGTGCATTGTGCGAACATACATAATTCCCCACTGACTCTATGAATGAACTGAACGGCAACAGGTCATGGTTGGCTACTTGAGCCACTGAAGCTTGTGACATTGCATGACACACACGCACGCTCTCTCCCCTCCCCTCCTGCATAACAGCAATCGTAAGGGCCACACGGTGGGAACTTCCAGGAAGGATCGATGCCTTTTAATAGCTGCGCTTCCACGGGGTCACGGCGAGGATGTTTAAAATTGGCATATAGATCTGACATGTGCATTTGATTCTCATGCAATCGATCCAGCCCCGTTTAGCTTGACCGCTTCCATGACACGAATGAAGCCAACAGCCAATAAAGCAGCCATCTTGCCTCCTGTGTGCGTCCGGGGGCCATTCGTGTCTTCATATCACAAGGAAGCCATATCATGTCTCGCCTATTTTAGAAACACTGCCCGCTCACACTCGCGAGGCCGCCGTGGACAAGATTCTTGGAATCCCTGCCTCTTCCTGAAGCGTAAAATTGGTTTTCGTGGTTCAGAGTGGACTTGAGTTCTAGAAACAAAATCGGAAGGAGGCTTGAGCGCACGCGGCCTCCAATGCAACAAACCGCAATTGAAGACTGAAGAGTCTATCTAGTGATGTGTAAGTGATTTACGTTGGAACAACTTGAAGTTATTGAGATTTACGGCAACAATTTTGCACAACAAATGAAGCAAGATGTTCGCTCCAAAACTATTTGCTGAGTTGTTTTACTGATGTCTTTAAGTTGGTGGCGGAAATGCAAGGTACAATTAGTTATGTCAACTATCATTTTTTTGGTTGTGAAATGTGGGAAAGCTTAAAATATTTTGCTAAATTGCCCAACTTAACTTAATGTTTTTGTTTACAGTGCATAAGTGCCCACTGCTCACTGCCCTGAAAAAAATGGATGAATTTACTCAATTTTATAGCTCATCAAATGTCTGCACAAAATCAAATCATCTGCATCCAAATATATCTTCAAAGTAGATGAATACTCCATTTAAAAAAATTTTACCTGGATCCAGTTGACAACCAGTTGGCAAAGTAAAATGAAGTCAATTAAACAACACCTTTTTATCAGTAGAATAATCTAGAATTAGAAAAATGCCATTAAGGTCAATAGGATTTAATGTTTAAAAACACACACGCGCACTCGCACACATTTTTTGCAAACCTTGTGGACCTGGAAAAAAATTTAGAAAATCAATTCGGTACAGAAAGAACAATTTTTGTAACATCAGTACTGTATTGTCTAATTTAAAGGGCAGCCAAGTTGCATCTAGAATGAACTGTCATCTCTCTATGACGCAAAGAGTCATTTGAAAAATAAATTGTGTGTGTGGGGGTGGGGGGGTGCAAAAACACCCACGCAAGCAAATGGAAGGCACCCAAACAATGGATGGGAAGTCTCAGCACCTTGTTAGCGAGCCACTATTTACCTTTTTGGGAGCCATTCTTTATAAACAGCGAAAGCCTTTCGTTGGGACAACAATGACAGAAAACATTTTGGGGGGCAGTGGGATTGTCACCAAGCGGACAATGCAACCTTATCCCCCTGGACATCAATTATTTACAGACAAAATAAAAAGCATCACTTTTTAGAAACACCTACCGGATAAGCGGCGTGCATCCCCAAGACCCTCGTTCCCAATTAACGGTCCGAGGCGCGCGGACGGTGCGAGCGATGCGGATGGTGCCATGGACTTTCCCGGTGAGTTATCGAACTGGGTTTTTTTTTTTTGGCCCTTCCACGCTGGGGGAGCTGGAGGGGGGAGACACGCGCGTCCTCGCCTTCGCAGCTCGCGCCTTTGGGAGGGCGCGGGTGGCTGCTGGGGTGGGGGTGGTGAGGCAAATAAAAAGCTTTCGCCAGAGCCGAGCCGTGATGCAAACGCGGTCTGCTGGGGGAGGGAGGGGGTCTCGTTCTATCTACGACACAGGCAGACTTCCTCGCCACGGAGCTTTTTTTTTTTTTTTTTTTTTTTTTTTTTTTTTGGGGTTTTTTTTGAGGGGGGGAGTTGCGACTTTGCTGGCCGCTGCAAGCTTCGTTGATGCGCATTTGCTGGCATGTTGATGAAAGATGAGGCAGCCGTGTGCGAATGTTGCAGAACACCGGTAGAGGTAAGAGACCCGTCACGATGTCTGATCAGGTGCTGACAAAGCATGATCCAGCATGTCTGCGCAAAGTGGGGGGACTATTGACATTGTCGCTGAAAGCTTTGGACACTCATTCATGCTTCGAAACACCGTCGCGCGCGCACACACACGCAGAAAAAGCAAACCGGCACAAATCTACTTCAATCCGTTTTGGATTCATGATTACGTGGTCATTTTTCTGCTCTGAATGCTCCAGTCAAGTATAGCAGAATGGCTGAGGGCAAACTGCGCCTGCACGCACTGCAGAACATTCAGTTCAAATGCTGAATAGCGACAGATTCGTTCAGCAATCTTCATGTAACCAATTGCTGGAATGCCCAGTCCCAGAGTTGTGAAGGTCAGGTACAACGATGACTTTTGACAAGTCGTTATGCTCTTTAGATGATGCCGTTCTTACAGTCAGCATAAGGAACATGAATACATCTGACACTTTCTCATTGCACATTTACCCGAAGCTGCGCAGCAGCGCAAAGTTTCAATTTTGAGTTCCTCGGGAGAACAGTTCTTTTCGGCATCTCCACAGGGAGAACGAAACGGCACTTAAGTACAACCAAGTACGTCTGGCTGATAAGGAGAAATCTTCAAGTAATTGACTGGGGGCTGTTCTTTCAATGACAATTCATAATGTGATTAAATGTGACGATACTATATTGGTACAATTCTCTTTGGCAAATTGGTCTACAACAAAGGAAATGATACTGGCTGTGGATACTGGAAATGATTGTAAAAGAATGCAGGTTAGGCACGGAGATGATCCGATCCATTTTGAACCCGGAGGACAGGTTAGTGGTTCATGCAGTCTAAACCATCGTGCGTCTAAAGAGGCTAATGACTGCAGTGGAGGGCTGGTGGTGGAGGCTATGTGCACACACTTAAGTGCAAAGTGACATTATTCCAAAAATGTGTCGACCTCAGCACATTCCGCCGTTGCAAAGTCGATGGCATTCGACTATACTTGTGAAAAGCTGTAAAAGTGCAAACTTTTTAAGAAGCATTCATCCGACAAACAGCACTGTCAGAAATAGGGGTGCGGTTGGAGTACCTCAAGGTTCATTCATGTCCCCCCTGCACTTTTCTCCAAAAGTGGAACACCTTGGTCCCGAAACTTAAAACCTACAAATGCATGAGGGGTCAATTGTGTGTAATGTGAACACTGACTGTGCAGATTCCAGCAAAGTTGTCACCTACTCGGGGGTGCAGAGGTTATGCTCGGGATTCCAGCTCGGCCAAGGTGACAGTGACGTCGCACCAACAAGCCAGCCAACCTTGGTGAAGGAGGTCAGGAGGCAAATGCTCCTCAAAATGGCATCTCCTCCTCTTCTCACTCCCACATTTAGCCTCCTGCCACGTTGGAGTGGGTGAACCCGCAACGTCGGAACCTCACGTGCGCATCCCAGAGCCTCTGGGACGCTTGCCACCGTTCGCTCGAAGCCACTTGTGCACGGCGCGGCTTGAATTTAAAATAGATTAGTTGGCGGACGTGGCTCGTCGGCCATTTCAATTCTCCCGCCACACGAGGTGATAACGCATTCCCACGTAGGCAATGGCGGAGGTGCAGAGGTCAAAGTTAATCCTCAGGGGGGAGTCACACACTCGTTCTGTTTGCAAAGGAGGCTAATGATTTGCACACACCTCTGCCACCAGAGCATACGTTCGAGAAAGGGTTGACCCTCAGAATGAAATCATCAATCATTAAGATTCAGATTGGGCGCCTTCCATCTGAGTCACTGCTCAGAGATTTGCATGCCTCCAACTTGGTGGGAAAACTCCTTATCTGTCCCCAAGGCATGCCTGGACGAGACGGCATATAAAAGGCATCCCTGGATGAGTTTGAATCAAGGTCATAAGATGAAATGACACAAAACTAATGCTGACCAATGACTGTCACCAAAAAAAAAAAAAAAAGTTGCAGAGTGGAAAACATTAGCTACTTCTCAATGGGAATAACATCCGTAAATCTGAAAGTCCACTTGAACAGTTCAGAACTTGCATAAACTTGAATTGACCAAGAAATGTCCCGATTCAATTAGAACTGGTGTTTACGATGTTCACATTTTGACGTCATGAGACCAAGACGACACCAAACAATGGATAAACAGTACATTGCCATCGTGATGCTTCAAACCTGACCTTCTCAGACGCAAGTGGCCACTGAGCTTAGAGAGTCAGAGAGTATCATCAGCAGGTTGCAAAAGAGATACCGAGAGACTGGAAGAGTCACAGAAAGATGTCGAAGTGGACGTCCTTTGGCCACATCCCATGCTGATGAGCGCTACATTGTGAACAATGCCCTGAGAAACCGGATGATGAATGCCACTCAACTCCCGGGAGGTGTGAGGCACCCAAGCGTCACGTCAGACCATTCGAAAGCGTTTACATCAGCCTGGTCCGCGCGCTAGACGGCGTACAAGGGTACCTGACTACACCGTTCGTTGGGCCCAGGCGTCATCGTCTTGCATGGGCCAGGGAGTATTTATGTTGGATGAGAGACCAGTGGCCCTCAGTGCTGTTGTGCTTTTAACGGTGGCGGTGTTACAACCAAACAATTTTGACCAAACACAAATGAATTAAAAGTCGCTGAATTTGAAAACCAAATGTGTAAATGAAATAAAAACGAACCATGGTTAAAAAAAAAAAAATAAAAAAAAAAGAGTCCAAAGCTATGACCTCTTTGAAATCTCGTGTTGAATATTCTGAGGTGCAGTCAATGATTGCACTTCTGGCCACTCCAGGCAAATTGCGCCGCGAGCCCGTACAACTTCAGCGCGCCTTCATCTGATGATCCTTTGTGTCGTCGCGCCCTGCGTCACACTGGGGCTGCAGTGAAAGAGTGCATTCAGCTCGAGGTGCACAAGGGCCAGGCGGCGTGCCCACATGACAAGACAACAGGAGACCTGCTCTCATTTGCCAAGCACACCCGGTGAGCTGGCCTTGAGTAAACACAAGAATTCAGTCGCCGTATGCATTGTGCGTGCGGAGTTCTTTTCGCATCAGCGCAAACAGCGAGAGATGAACGACCCCAACTCGGGCTGAACAATTCATTCAATTCAAATTCGACATCAAGGGGGCCTTGAAAAAATGGTCACGCATTTAACAGAAACTACAAAATGCGGGGACGGCGGGGGAATCACACACTTACCATTCAGCCATAATCACAACTAAACTAGGGTTTGCTGACTCACACATCGTAGGAGTGTCCGGCTGTGCATAGCGATGCCAAGTCTAAGTTAGCATGTAGCATAAGTGGTCGTAAGCTTTGCAACAATAAACGGAACGCTCCTAACATGATAGCATCGATGTTGTCACGTTTTGTGGGGGTATTTTTTTTTTTTTAATTGCGGCTCATTGCCGCATGCTCCGCTCATGATAGCATCGATGTTGTCACGTTTTGTGGGGGTGTTTTTTTTTTTTTTAATTGCGGCTCATCGCCGCATGCTCCGCATAAGAATCAATCACGAGTGGGACACCCTGCACCATTTCACGGCAAGAGTTTAAGCTCAGACTGCCGCCAATCATTCTTATTTGGATCAGCACCAAATGGCATAGCTTCGTAGATTTATCTGCGCTAAAATTGTCCAATGCACAGCGTTTCATGGAAATTGGCTAATTTGTTTTTACATGAAGCTGTTCCCAAGCAAAATCACAGAATGAAATGAGTGGAAATGCCACAAATATGTTCCAGCCTTTTCCTGAAAAAAAAAAACAACAAAGAAATTGTTGGAATTTTCATGAGGGAAAAATTGCTAGGGTGGTGTAATACAGATGTTTCACTGCAATGTCACGAGTCCTCTCAGCTCATCAATGCGGCACTAATATGTGCCTTTCTTTGCAGAGGATGAATAATGTATGTCTGTGACGAGTGCACTGTTATGTTGACACTCTACACCAGGGATGTCAAACCAATTTTTTTTTGTCACGGGCCACATTGTAATTACTGCTTCCCTTGAGGGGACATTAGGACTGTGAAACCGTGTAAAAAAACTCAAGAGTAATGGTTTATTCAAGTACAGTATTGTCTACGTTAGTGTAATGAGAGGTTTGGTAACAAGAAAATGCGTACAACGTCTGTGTTATTTATTAAATATGCAAATTTTAAATTTTGGTACAGATTTCAGCGAGCATCATGAAAGTTGACATGTTTGATTTGCTTCCGCGGGCCGCATAAAATGATGTGGCGGGCCAGATCCGGCCTCGGGGCCTTGAGTTTGACACCTGCGATCTCCACGTTGCGACACTGTGGGTGTCTTTGATCAGTTATGAATGGGCAATAGCATTGGAACTAGTCATGCTAGCAGACTGAAATACTAAACCACATCTGGCTTGTGTATTCTCTTTGGTGTATGTTTCGTTTGAGAGTAAACTTCAACCCTGTTTTGAAGGCTTGCTCGCTACCTCCACTCAAGTAAAAGGAAAAATAAAAACAGAGCAATGATGTCTTTGATCAGTTATGAATAGATAATAGCATTGGAACTAGTCTGCTAGCATTATGCTAGCAGACTGAAATGCTAAGCCACATCTGGCTTGTGTATTCTCTTTGGTGTAT